GTAGGTTTTAGCAACACTCCAGAAGAAAGTTTCAAAAACAAAGTTCAGGAGTTGAGTACAAATAGAGAGACCTAAGCCAATCTTGTGGAAGGTGTGAAAAGGCTTTGCCAACTTTCTTATCTGGGTGCTCAATGTCGAATTGTTGGTACATGACCAACTCTTTTAATGTCACAGTGTTTGAGGATATCAGTTGTGCAAGTGTAAAGAAAGCTCTCTAGTTGAAAGTGGAATTGCACTTTACATCTACTAAAGTCACAGATAAACAACTATAGACACCCTCCAAAAGTTATAGGATTATTAGATCAAATAATATAGAAACATCAACTCTATCTGATGAAGGTATAGAAAGGCTGAAACGATTAATATGACAGGTCTTTACTCAAAATGAATTTATTTATTTATTTTTGTTATCAAGCATAAAGCTACACAGTGAACTATATCTACTTATACTGCTGTGCTCACTGCGAGTATAGAAATGGTTTTTAGCAGGATATGCCTGTTGAATTATTGTTGAGCCATCAGGGGTGATGGAGGAAGTAAACCACAAGACAGAAGGTATTTCCACTGCAACTTAAAAGTACATATTGCTAAAAACTGCTCCCATAGGATGACTATAGGAGTGAAAAAGGTAGACATTATAGTAGAGACTGATGAAACCATTGTTGATAACCAAGGAGACGATATTGAGGATGATAGTACTCCACTTGTTCCAATAGAAATAAGGAGTGTATTATTTAAAGAAACTAGTCCATGAGCCATAAAGCTATTGATGAGAACTTCAGTATATTGATTATTGGGTCTACAGCTACAACTGTTAGAACCTCTGATAATGAAAGGTGGGAAATTGCTTTCAGAGATAAATAAAGAAGATGGATTGATGTGAACAGCAAGTGGAAATAAAGTTCCAGTAAGATTAAAATGGTAAGGTATTCTCATACATGGGAAACTTCTCTACAATGAACAGTTTCATGTATGTTCGAATGAATTCATTACGTTTTTCGGTTATAATCACATTAAAAACTTAATACATTTTACATGTTATCATTTTCTAGCTGTTTCATTTTAATAACTATGTTTTCATGTGCTTTACTTGGACTTCGTGAATTCACAGAAGAATCTGAAATGTTGAAATTCTGTCTACTCAATTATGTTGATAGTTATCGCAAGTTTCTTCAACAGCATGTTTGAATAATTATAAGATACTGAACACTCAAGAATATCCACTAAATAAAGCATTATGATTCAGTACAACAATAGTAAAAACAACTGTCATGAGATAACAACAGTTTGAACGAATATGTGAAAGTATAATTTGTTTGAAAAAACATTCATTATGTTTATTGTGTGTCAATTTGTTTGTTGTTTTGCTTATAAATCTAAAGATTTATCTGAGCCTTATTAGACTACTTGGTTGATAACTTTTGCAGAAATAATTTTGTTTAAAAATATATCAAACTTATGTAATTAATTGTCAAAGAAATGGTTAAACCTATCATACTTTCTCTGGTAGGTAAATGGACTCTATATCTTAAAGGTTGTTGTAGCATGACATGCTCTCTACACAAACGAAGTGAAAACTTAGGTATTCATGACGGACAGCTCAGTTACTGAAACATTTGTTAAACAGCAAGAGCAGGGATTTGATAGAAAAAAGAAATTGTGACTGACCTCAGTTTACATTTGTCCAGAAAAATTTATATTTCAGTACTCTTTTTTTTTTCTACTTTTAAATATTAAATTTTTTCCCAAGATTCTGCTTCCTTTTTAAAATAAGTTACAAATAATAAGTATCCAGTATCTACATTATACAGTGAAGTAAATGTCATGCCTGCACAATTGTTGCAATTTTTGTGTTATCAAAACTCAGTTAGACTTGAGGTAACAGGAAAGATGAAGTTCATAATCACAGCATGAAAGTATGCTTCGGATATGCTGCTTTTATATCTTTACTGATACAATAGATTTAACTTCCTTCTTTATTGTAAATTAATGTGAACCTCAGCAAAAACAGAGGAAACTGCATTTAATTTAAACACACATAACCAGTCATAGAGTTTTTGTACTCTGAAGTCTTTCGAATTGAAATAACCAGAAATACTTAGTACCATCTTGGGATAATTGAATGTCAACTTATTCCAAGTGAACATGCATCAACACCAAGATGTACAGACAAAAAAAACTTTCTTTTGCTTAAAATAGTTCCTGTAACCATAAATTTAAATCTTAAATATCTACTTCATTCTTCTTTTTATTGTAGGCCTTGTATCTCATGATACTGTATATATTCTCCAAATATAAACCCTAAGTAAGTTTAAATGAAACAAATCAACAATTTTAACTGTTAAAATTTTTGCCACCTGTTTCTTTCTTTTTTTGGTTTTAACTTCTTCTTTTTTACCTAGGGAAGAAGTATGTAGTTTATGATTAAGCAAAATTCATTACAGTTGAATATATATTATACCAAATCCCATACTTGTTTTATCTTTCATAAATTATGCTAAATGTTTTTATTATAGGTTTGTATGTCTCATAAAATTCTTTTTTCATAACATTTTTTAAGATCAAAAAAGTATTTTAATAAAAAGTTATCTTTACTATAATTGTGAGTCCTTATAAATAATTTTGAATAGATACTACAATATTCATTGCTCAAAAGGACGTATTTTACAAATTTAGTATATATGAAATCATTTGAAATATATCACTTACTCATGTTGCTGAATTTAATGGTAAATTATACATTGTTTGTGGAAACAAATTAAAATGGAAATATTAAGATGGAATACACTTCAATATAATACAGTACACCAGAATCATACCCATGGTATTATTCTGCTATCACAATGTCACCAACATATATATATATACACAAAACGTGAAACAAACAATGCCAGTAGGTCAAGCTAGCCAGCTACTCATTCTTGAAATAATGAAGTTATTCATGTAAGATATATTTTTTCTTTCCAAATCATTAGACTTTAAACAAGATAGTTTTAAGAAACTTCCTGTTTTATGACAGTTTACAACAGACACATGAAACAAGCTAATGTAAAAACAAATCTATAGAGGCAGAACTGATTACCATTATGGCTTTCTCCTCTCCCTCTGTTTGCTAGACTCTCTTCGTCTCTGATTTAATGGATTTCTTGGATCAAATATCTCAAAAGACTCTGCACTTCTGATATTGGCATCCTTAGCTAAGACTGGCCCAGTATCTTCAAAATGAAATACATGGGTAAGCCTGCAATCAGTTGAGAATTTGTAATTAGTGGGATTTTCTAATTCATCGTTACAATTCTTTTCTCCTATCACAAAAATGTTTGGTAAACACACACACAAAAAAAAGAATCTCATACCTCAACATTACTACTCAAAAATATATACATATAACCTTGAACAATTTTATATTTAATGGAAAAATGTTTGCATGTTTTAATATCAGAAAAATATTAGTTACTTCCACTATTACACAAAATAATATTCAAGTCTAGTCGAGGTAAAGTGTAAATATAACAATATTTATCTATAGAATATTTGATATCCTGATACAAACTAGTAAGCAATTAAAATAAAATGAAACAAAATAAAGTATTTGAAAACTGACAGACTCCAACAACTACTCATTAGGTCTTTCATACTTTAATGATTATTAAAACACAAACATCAACATTTTGTTAATTAATGTAAAGTGGATAGAAATTTTAAAACACAGAAATAGATAGTTTGCTTCTCCTTAGAGAAAACCAGAGAACGTGTAGTGAATTTTCAAATTCTGAGATAAATTTTGGAAAAATTAAATAGAATTTTGAGCTCAACCTAGAGATGTCACTAAGATTTGAAGTTCATGCCCAGAGCTTGCAGGAATTTTTGGCATTTCAGTATGATATCAATCACAATTTTTCTCATTTTTCAAGAGCACTAAATGGATTTGGGCAGTGTGATTCAACTAAAGCTTATATTTAATCTGGTCAATACAAAGAAATATTTATTGCTGTACTTTTATTGAGTATATTGTTTTAAATAATATGAAATCAATTCATAAAACAATAACAAAGTTTATAGTTACTTACCAGCCTCTATCGTCATCACCGCCATCATCTTCAAGAGTCTCTTCTGTGGGTGAGTTCTCTTTGGCTGACTGGAGTACTGACTGAAACTTGGATAGCATATTCAAGGTCTAGTAACATAAAAACTACATTCATCAGAACCTAATAGTTTGCTATTGGAAACAATATATGATTAAATTTATGATCTAAAAGTTGATAAAATACTAAATACAGGTATAAAATGATGTCCAAATATATTTTAATCTAATAAGAGTACTTTTTATATAAATTTGTATACAATTGATCAGCATGTGGTTACAATCTTCCTGGTAAACCAGATGTATGATGGTCTTAAATTTATAATAATATTCTTGCTTAGGTAAAAGTTACTTACTACAATGTCTGTCCTAAAAAAAGTTTATACCAGGTTCACCCTGTGTCTGTATCTACTCCTTGAGGTGGGTAAGCCCTTTTTGAAAGATGATACAGATACCTCGCGCAAGTTAGTATGAATTGAGGGATTCTCTCCTTTGTACGTATGTTTATTTGTAATAATAGTTGATAATGGTAATCTAAAAGACTGTGAGATACCACACTAGGACCTCTGTTTACATAAAAGTGAAAAACTCACTATTTGTAAGAACACAGGTTTTTTACGAGTGTGAATTTGTGTTTTCTTTGTTTTCCATTTTAAAATGTTACTCTACATAAAATTTACAAAACCTGCAGGTTGCATAATTTGACTCAGCATAACTTGAAAAACAATACCATTAGTTCAGGTAATTGATAAAATATTGTAGATAATATAACAGTTTTCAAACTGCCAGTCTAAGGTTTATTCTATAAAAATCTGTGCACTATCATTTTTTATTGATTACTTAATATTAACAAACTCAAATAAATGCACTGATGAGTGTATTTTATCATTAATCACTGGTAATTACTCTGCTGTCTTGTGCTAATAATAATAAAATTAACTGCATGTTTTCATTTCATTTGATACTCCTAAATAAATAATAATCTGTAAAAAAATGTTTCTAGAATGTACACATAACAGATATGAATGTCATATCCATAAATAATGACATAAAAGTTGTAAATTATCTGAAAATTCCCATTGTCTGATGTTATCTTTAAAACTCTTACACAAACTTTGTAACTACCAGTGCATTTGAATTTTACACAGTCTATCTTGTGTTATCAAAGTAAGATAATATAATATTGAAATACAATAAAGCATACATACCTGTTCTTCTCGGCCCTCTCCTTTTTTTGGAAGTTTTTTCTTCAGCTCATTATATTTTGCAATTTCCATCTGAAACTCTTTTAGTGTGCTCTCTTCTTCTTCTTCTTTAACATTTATCTCAGCTGATTTTCAGAAAAAGTAAGATACTTAGTAATACAGAAAAAACATTGAGTTCTTATACAGAATCTGAATGATATAAGTTGCTTCTTGTTTACTAGAAACTTAAACTCAATGACTGATAGTAAAGTACAAAAAAATACAATATATTAGAAAATATTTGGTGTAATTTTTTGAATTATACACACTATTATACACTGTCATTCCAAAAGAAACTTCCAAACACTGAACACTTTCATGTTATATACACAAATTAATTACCAATGAAACACATTACTAAAACAAAAATCTTTCTCTTAACATCTTACATAAAAACTATCAATTTTCTTTACAAATTTTGATTGAAAGGTGAAACCAGAAGATGACAGTACATTTGTGAATCAGTCACTGGACAAAACGTACAGTAATAACTGATTAGAATGTAGTACGTACAGTTTCCACATCAGTATGTAAACCTAGCCTTACCACTAGAGGTGGAAAATTCTTGTAAAAACACACTTTTATTTCCATTAACATGGAAGTCTAGCTCATGAGAACTGTTCCTGTGTTAATGTAGATTGATTTGCAGCCTTGAAGAGTCACTAGTAGTCAAGTATAAAGTTATTTGCCACTATTTAAGAAACATTTTATACTTTTAGGCCCATTCTTTCTTCTTGGTAAATTTCTATAATTTAAATTAATTTTTATTACTACCTTCATAGATTAGAACAAGAAAGGGTATCCACAAAATACTGAATGCAGAAGAGGGAAGAGCTCAATGTTGTGCAGTAGACACAGAGGAAGGAAGAGTTCAATGTTGTGCAGTAGACACAGAGGAAGGAAGAGTTCAATGTTGTGCAGTAGACACAGAGGAGGGAAGAGTTCAATGTTGTGCAGTAGACACAGAGGAAGGAAGAGTTCAATGTTGTGCAGTAGACACAGAGGAAGGAAGAGTTCAATTTTGTGCAGTAGACACAGAGGAGGGAAGAGTTCAATGTTGTGCAGTAGACACAGAGGAAGGAAGAGTTCAATGTTGTGCAGTAGACACAGAGGAGGGAAGAGTTCAATGTTGTGCAGTAGACACAGAGGAGGGAAGAGTTCAATGTTGTGCAGTAGACACAGAAGAGGAAAGAGTTCAATGTTGTGCAGTAATCATGTGAGTTACAGAGTACAAATCCTTTGTTATAGTAGCTTTCATCCAGAATATTTATACATCACACAACCTTCAATTCAGACTGAAACAGTTCATTAAGGTAATCATAATCATTAATATATTTAATAGTTGCAGATGTGAGTAGTGCATGTTCTTCCTTTTTGGAAGATATAGCTGGTGGTCAATAGCCAAAGTTCATTTGATGTAAATTAATATTTACATATACTGCCATAAACTTTAGAAAAAAAAATCACAATAATAATAATATCAGTAGTGGTGCACACAGCCCGTTGTCAAACTCTGTAGAGTTAAAAAATTAAAAACTTAGTTCATAATGCATGACTGAAATGATAAAAATTAGAAATGTTATTTGTAATATAACAAAGTAAATTTTTAATTTCATAATATATTACTTTATGACTGGCCATACATTTCTGCATTATTCATTTCAATAACTTAAAACGCATTTTCAACTTGTCACCAAAAATATCAAATGTTATACTTTAACGTTTTGAGAAAAGCTGTATATAGTCCTAATATACATATTTCGATATTAGGTTGCTTTAACGTTTGGTTCTGTTTTCTGGTATTATTAAGCCTGTGAAATTGAACTTTTATTTTCGAAATAAAACCAATACTTTGTTTGGAAAGCAAGTCCACCACCTTATATATAAGAACAAAACTTAAAAACATGTTTTTGATTACTCAATTAAAAATATCAATCTTTTATCTTAAAACTGTAAATTATATCATATGGGTTCTATTTACACAACAATTATGTTGATAGAGACAACATAACTGTCTTATCATTAAGGCTTACTTTTGGTAATCAAACAATAATGTCAATTGTAATTACGTGTTCACCAGCATGCTGCAAATTCAAAAGAAATGACATATCCTTTTAAGGGTAACAGGTTTAAAATTTGTTTAATTTTAAAAGTATTGTGCTAAGAAAACTAAATACATTGCTTGACAATCACAACAAGATGAAATATTCAACCTGAAGTTGAAACACTTCCTGTATCAATTCATAAAAAAAGTCATCAAAAGAATTAAATGTCTCATCAACCATTCATAATCTGTATCAAAAACTGAAACTACACTTCAATCAGATAAATCACTTATTAGCATGCATTCTCCAAACTTGTCCTTTCCAGCTTGTAAAATAGAAATGCTAAATTGTAAACCTATAGTTAACCTTACATAGCTGAAAATTTACAATGGAACCAACCACAGTCTACTTGCAGATGCAAACTACCCTACAAATAGAAAACATCATCCACAACAACTCTGAGTACAGTCTGGAATTTAGTGAACATACATACACACATAATATATAAATAATTTACATTAGACTAAGAATTATAGCATATACACACATAATACTATAGGCCAGCATACCCAATTTTTGTTATCCACACCCCACTTCTTTATTTAAATTAAATGAATGAAAGAGTGAATTAAGTGATGCAATACAGGAATACATATTAAAATGCTATATGTGTTGTACTAATTACTTTTTATTTTAATTAATAAAAAATATGTTAAAATGCTCGATTTTCCATTATTGCACTATTGACTCTAATTGCTCACGTACCCCTCAAGAAATCATCTGCACCCACACTTTGGGAATCACTGCTACAGACATTAAACTTTGTCTTGAATAGTAAATTAGTAAGAATTGTTGAAAATTACGATACCATGAAAGAAGTTCCAACTCATATTGACCAAAAAAAGAGAAAAAAAATGCAACATGCTAACATTTTTCAGCCTTGTTATTCTCCTCTTCTGTGTTTCCTTCTTTGGGTTTTCTTTCACTAGCTATTTCTTTTTTCAGTTTCTTTATTTCTTTTCTTATTTCTTCACTAAATAAAACATAAAAGTTATTCATAACTTACACATAATCAACAAGCATTTTGTTAAGAGTACCTAATTCTGTTGACTAAATTTTTAAAAAGTAAATTTGTGCATTTCTAAATTACATTAAAAACATATTCAAACAAACAATGTTACAAATATTACTCAAGTACACTTATATGTAACCTCAGGGATGGGTAATTTTAAGATCTAACAGCTACAGGACACTAAATTTTGCTGTTTAACATAATACATTTTTAATTGCAGGCTATACACCTGTCACTTTTAATAATCAAAAACAATTACTTTAAATATGAAATTACCTCTCATTTCAATTAATAATACTGACTTTTCACACTACCTGAAGTTATAGGTGAGGGTTAGAAGCTATCAGTGTCCAAGTTAGAGACTACATAAATTAATGTTTGGCTATGTAATTTTGCACATTTAAAGCAATCCTAAACGATCATTTTACATCTGAATGAGCTGACAAAATTAAAAGAATTAACTATATTCTTAATTTGAGACTTCTGTTTCAGACAAAGTGTAAATGAAAAATTAACACTAAGTTTTAGGGCAAATGAAAAGCCCAAAGAAAAGTTATGGTTAAGAAGAAATGAATGATAACGTTTTATTTCATCTCAACATATAAACCATTTATCTTGCACATGATTCCTATATATATATATTCTAGGTTCATTTCTAAACAAGACTGAACAAACAAAGGTATTCATTTGTTTGAAAAGCAGTGTACTCTGTCCACCTCTTCTGAAGACCTGTTAAATGTATGTCATCCTCACATAAAATATAAAACAAGTAGATGAAGTCTGTTGAAACATTTAATTAAAAGCTACAAATTTCAACCCTTCACCTAAACCGTACATTAAATGACATTTCAGAAGATTTTCTTTTTTTTTAATGCTTGTGGATTTAATCTTAACTAAACAAAAATACAGTTTCTAATTTTCTGACATATTGTGTATTTTAAAAACTGAAAACCTATGTGTATAATATTTGGAAATAATTTAATGCTTTGATTTTCAGTTTACAAAGTAAAGAAATAACACTTGCTGATTTGTAAATGACCAACTGATGTAAAAGCTATTTTCATAAAAGAATTTAGCTAATGGATATACATTTTAAGCCACATGTTTCATTTACTATATGTCCATTTGCATTAGATAAATAAGAAAGTTAAATTGTAATGTTTCACATACAAATTTTTTTGACATCACTTGTTGATAATTTAAAATTTTAATCACAGCATTCAAAACACACATACTGTTAACCACAAAATATATATTAAGTTATGCCTTATCAAATCTATAATACTTGAACCTAAGATATGAGTAATTTTAAAGTCTATAATTAAAGATACTTGAGAATGTCTTTTTACAGTCTTACTCTTGTAGCAATTAACCGAATGGAAAACTCAAATCAGTCAAAAATTTATTTTGAACTTGGTTGACTTTTGTTAGCCAGATCTATCAGGGTTTGTACACATAAAAGCAGCTTTAAAAATATCTTGGATTCACCTCACACTTTGAAATTAACATTTCATTTCTCATAAGTTTAATGTTCAGTGAAGTCTAAAATAAAACCTGCTATTTTATTCATCAATTCTTTAGTCTCATCCTCTTGAATTACAAAAGGAAAGATATATAAAATTATATTACAGTTTATGGAACACATGTAGATGGCACTATCAGTAAATCAAATTTAAAGACACCTTAATACTTTTGACAAGTTATCATCTTCCTAAACTGAAAATGTATTTCCAAACATACTTACCTCTGCTGACACAATAGCTATTTCTCGATCTTCATCTTTGTCATCTAATGTTGTGTTCACTTGCTCCAGTCTTTATATACCCCACTCGACTGACCTTGGCAATATCTAATTTTCAAAACTTTATGCCAGCCTCACACACCCTCTATGCAGGTACTGTATATAAGCATTGTACAAAGACAATAAAATCACTTTTTCAAGACTTACCACATTCCGGTCACTAACATTGACTCTTAGTGGGGAGGGAGAGTGTCAGCGGAGGTAACTATGCATGGAAATACATTTTCAGTTTAGGAAAATGATAACTTCCAAAACATACATACTGCCACTGACACTAATAGCTAGAATCCCACATTAAGTAGGCGGAGGGGCCAGTGAGGACAGAGATCGTACAGCAAGCATCTGCAGAGAACAAATATGTACCACGAGAAGTGGTATCAAAGTGGGGAACACTGCACTACATCCAGAACAGGTATGCTCTTCACCCAAAACTACAGAAAAGTTAAAAGGTAGAATATAATACAAGTATGATGGTCCAGCCCCGACTAAACAGCTGAGGCTCCACAACTCGGGTTGGATTTAAGGGGTCATGGTACCCATATCCCATGTTGGTGGCCAGGGCAGTTGGACTGCAGATATATATATCTTTGTGATAGGATCTCCACCAGTAATCACAGAATGATGCACTTTGAACCACCAGTTTTATGAAAGAAAGAAAGCAACACCAAAATGGACAATCCTTCTGATCAACCTGAAGAAGTCCAAAAGGCAACATCCCATGTTTGGATTGATGGGATTATATGCCATACACCACCAAAGTCCAGAACTCATCCAGTCTGGATTTACAAACAGTTGTCTTTACTCACTCACGCAGACAAAAGTTGAAGGGAAGAGAAGTATCTTAAAACAGTAGTAAGAGTCAAATGAATCTGAAAAAATTGCAACCTATTAAGAGAGATAACAGGTTCATACCTGGCACCCCATAGATCCAACAACGGATCTAACCTTTGAGTGTCCAAACACATATCATCCTGATGATGATACGCCAGGACATGTTGTTCAGATAAACGAGAGGGGGAGGCATAGCAACACCTTCACATAATTGTGTTGCAAACCTCCCTTCATGTACAGCAATATCAGGAGATGGAGGAAAAACTAAATAATCCCCTTGAGAGTAATCAGACAACAATATAGGGGTAGACTCACAAGCAACTGGTTGCATCTCCAAACCTTCACAAACATGTGTAACTAACTGCAGAAAAGGGGCAGAAGGTGGCTGATCAGATGAGTCCTCAAGAGAGGAAGCTCTAGTGAAAGAATGAGCAGGAAACAGGTAGCCTAAATCCTCCCCAGAATATCCAGTTTCAGAATGAAAATTCAAATCAGCACTTCCTGGAGAGATACCCAGGCCACATGAAGGACTCAATCTTGCCTCAAGTCACGGACAGCTTCCACGGAGATCGCCCCCCGACTGCTGACCATCACGAGATAACAAAGTAGCCTCCATGCTTGAAACAGTTAAATGGAAATTCATATGAAAAATTTTTTTTTAATGTATTTGCAAGAAAAGACAAAAAACAAATTCAACGAAATATATCTCTGAATAACAAAACAAAGAATTCCCGATTATTAGAAAGCGAAAACTAAGAAAATGTAAATCACAAAACCTTAGTCTGAATGCTCGCCCTTTGTCAAGAAAAAAGTGATTTTATTGTCTGCATACAGTACCTGCATAGAGGGCGTGTGAGGGCCAGCATCAAGTTTTGCAAATCAGATATTGCCAAAGGCAGTTGAGTGGGGTATATGAAGACTGGAGCAAGTGAACACAACATTAGATGGCAAAGATGAAGCTTGAGAAATAGCTATTAGTGTCAGCAGAGATATGTATGTTTTGGAAGTGGATTCTTTTTCACAAGTAAAGGAAGAAGGTTTCTTTGTATTTCATTTATCCAACTTCTTTGACACTACATTTTTTTCTTTATCATCAACTATCATATATGGCTTATACTACAGTTTGTCAAGTGAATATCAATTACCTAGTGATAAATAATTACAAACTAATGATGATATACAATCTGAGCAAAGAGAAAAAAATAACTGCTTAAGAAGCCTACAACCATTGTAATAAAAACTTCAGGACTTCTGAAAGTATTTACATGATTTTTAACCTTGTTTTGATAACTGTATTTTGATGGAGGATTATCAAGTAACATAGAAACAAAGAAGATTAGAGAGGATGTAGTGATAAAAACCTAAATCTGCTAGAAAAGTTCATGAGAACTTTAACTGTTATACTAGGAAGCTTTTCAAAGAAACTGTTACACAACTGCAAATTAAATAGTAGTGGTTTATAAGTTAAAATCTACTCAGAAGCAGATGAAAATAATTAATGTTACAAGACATGTGAAAAATGGTATGTGTAAAATAACCTATAAAACTAACGTTTTGTCTGCAGCTTCTTTTCTTTTTTTTTCTCTGTCACTCAAGTTTTCTTCTGGTTCCTTCTTAAGTTCAGGTTGTTTATTTTCAGTTGGCTCTTTCTTTAATTTATCTCGTATCTTCTGTATAGTTTCTGGATCTACAGGCAATTTCTTCTCAGAATGTGAATTATTTTTGATGTCCTCTGCCAATACAGCTGGTTCTGAACTAAGTTTTGGATCATTTGTTAAATCATGGCTACTTTTGCCTTTCCCCCGGTACTCCTAGTGTAAAAAAACAACAACATAACTTTAATATCTAAAGTTTCATGTATACAGGTAAATAAACTTTCTGGAAATCAAAGTGTTTCTGTAAATATAGAAACTCGATAAAGCTTGAACATTCTCAAGCACTGTGCTTCTGACTCAAGTAAAGAGAAATAATTCCAAATTAACTCCTGTGCATAAAATATTTTAACAAATGTGGTGCTTACAATTTCTTATCCAATTACTTTATTTTTCTACAAATGAAGTTCACATTATTTGTGCCAATAAGCCAAGAGTCATTCAATTTATTGAGTTTAAATATAATTATAAAAACAAATGTTTTGCTAACTCATATATTGAAATTTTAGTTATTACTTTAGTGTGATACATAATGTTTGCTAGCTCTTGTATTTGTATTAATACAGATTTTTCCCCAAATAGTTTATTCTAGTGTACGTGCAGCTTCACAAACCATGCCAGCCAAAAAAGATAAGTTCCCTTCACTCTAGCCCTCTGTTGTTCTGTGTCATTCACCAGAAGTAATATCTTCTCTGCCTGTGGTGAAGACAGCTTTAACTTTCAACTTGTTTAGAAAACTAGACAGAAGCTTTCTTCAATGGTAGGTCAGGTGATGTCTCAAGGTTACAATATCCTTTACTTTCTAATGAGAATGTCCAGTCACATGGATAGTATTAGTTGCCCTGGGAGTGTGTGACATTATAGTTTTAAGTATACAAATGATGTTTTCTCATACTGGGATAAGATTTACAGATAATATAGTCTGGAACAAGCTTAGAAGAGAATGAAAAACTTAGAAATCTCTCTCCAGTAAAGGTGATTATTCTTTGTACTTAAGCAGTACACACACTGTTTTTTTGTGTTTGTTTTCTAGAGAGAGAAGGCTAAGAGAAAGTTTATGCTATGTTCGTTAAAGGCAGGAAACGATTTCTATAAAGAGCAAAGAAAGGAAACCAGAAACTTCTGGTGGAACTTTGATTGGAAGAGAAATACATGCATAAAGGCTGCCAATTTATCATCTCTGATCATAACCAATTACTGAATTAGTTTTGGTTCTAGTTCCAAGAATTACAATGAGCCAACAAAATTCATCCAATAAAGTGGCAGATCTACTTGCGAGTTGATATGTACACTATTTGGAGAATTATAAGACTACTAAGGAACAATTGTATAAGAACCCATGTTTTGGGGCTAAAAATCAGTTCTCCAACAATATCCAAAGAGCCAGTATTCTTGCTATTAGCCTGTTCTCTGATGTTGCCAGATCCAATGCCCAGAATGAAGATATTTGTCCTCCAACAAGTCCATAATACCTGCTATTCTACCTCGATGTAAGTAACAATTGTTCTTTCTCTCAGTCAAATAGTATAGTTAGGAAATTGATGTAAGATGTACAGTGTTAAAAACTCATTAAGTATGTCTGGGCACATTCCATATAATATTTTAATTGATAGTTTGTTGATTTTTGTAAGTAATCTGATGAAAATTTTAAGAGTTTAATTAATGAAACTTTGAATGCTCAGAACAAGACATTTGATTCTTTTAATGTAGATGAATATTTGAATATATTGTATTAAAAATTGATGTGATATCAGTCTCCAGGTCAATTCTTTATTCTAACTGTAAAATTCTTCAAGTTGATGACTTGTGTAATCTACTTGCAACCGTATACCTGGATTTAAAATAAATCTACCTGTAACTGGGTTTAAAGTCAAACTCCAAACGACTAACCTACACACCCTCCCATGACACAATCAGCTTGAGCAGAACTGATGATGAAGGAAGTAGTTTCAAGATGGAACCCAGAACACCATTCCTATAAATTGTAATCAATTCACAGTACAGAGATTTTATCTTCATACTTTATATTTTACCTTCACAACTGCATCAACTTCTGCTTCCTCCTCTTCTGCCTCTTCTCCAAATGACAGTAGGCTAAAATTCCTGTTTCAAATAAAGTTATCAAACCTTTCTCATAGTTATGTCAAAACAGGGAAAAACCACGAAAACTTAACTGTATGAAGAAATTAAAAAATACACTAGGTACTAAAAAATTATATCTAAAAACAGCAACAATATTTTGTAAATTTTTTTCATGCAATAATGATACTAAGTAATAATTAAGTTTTAAGTATACATACAATAATGCAAATGTTTGAAACTCATAGTTGCCAAGCATTTTGATATACTTGCTTAATGGTTATACAAGACAAGTACAATAAATCAATCATTTCCAAGAAAATGTACAATTACAAGATGTAAAAAACCCAGTCAATTTTCTTTTATGAATTTTTATATATTACAAAAACTTTTAGTTCATGAAGGATAGCCATAATTTAAGTTTTAGCATTTATCTAATCTGTAGTTAAAAAGTTTTATCCAAATTCAATAGATAAATGAAACCTACTTTGTTGCTTTAGAATGGGTTTTCTTTTCTGTCTTTGCTTCTTCTTGAAAAGTTTTGTTCTCTTTGTTTTTGTTTCTTGGCAAAATATCAAGAAAAGGATTCAACAGAACCTATCATGAAAGGATAATTTTAAACAATAAAATTGTAAAGTACTTGTACATTATTATGTAAGAAGAAAAAAAAGGTATTAAGTTTGGCATTTTTAAATGCTAGTCATGTGATAAAAACTAAAAGTCTACAAATTATTCTTAAACTGAATTCATACAATTTTTTTCATCAGATTTGATATCAGTCTTAAAAATGCATTCAAATATCAGGCTAAGGGGCATGTAATAAAATCTAAAGTGTGACAAAAGAAACTTTAGAACAAGTAAAGCTAATATTAAACACTCAGTAAAGGAGATGTGCATAACTGTCAAAATGTTCACAAGTGTACACTGGGAGGAAGTGACCAAACCTGTCTGTAAAATTTTTAGGAAAAAAACAAATTATTTTTGACCTTTAAGATTTTCATTTGTTTCACTGAATCTTATATTTTATTAGAAAAACAGATGGCTATGGATTTCACTGGCAAAATCAGGCACCAAGCTGCTACAGGACAAAAGAGAGGACAAAGAAATAATTCATTAATAACTGACATACTGAATGATAGAATTTTGATGTTAAGCATCAAATTTTAAATTGCTGACCATTAACACTTTTCAGAACTCTGCCCTATACTTGGAACTGCATATAAAAGACCTGTTGTAGTATGTACTGTTCATGTTGTTCATTTTCTTTATACTCTTGATATTATTGTTCTGTAAATAAACTGATATGTTGAAATTATACAGTAGATGTAATGATTACTTTTTTTCTATGACATTATTGTGTATTTTATATACCATTTGATGTCAGTAGTATTACAAAGGTTATATATAAATCTTAAAATTTTAGTAATCTATGAAGTATACCTCTGTAACTTGTGGTTTTACTTGTTGATGCTTGAAGTTTGACCTTTGGCCAAACCCCAAAAAATGTTGAATTGTACATTTTGTTTATAAAAGTGTTTGAATTAGTTTTTTATAGCTTTACAAAATATTGGAAGAGCAGCAAATCTGTTTCAAATCTGTTTCACTATGATCATAGGTGTCTATATAACTTAGAAAACACTCTAAAAGATTGAAATTCTAACTCTCACAAAAATTATCATCTCCACAAGAACAAATTACTTGTGTGATTTTACAACACATATGAAAATATATCTTAACAATTTTGTGCACGAGAGAGTTTCTGACTCTTACCTTTGATTGAATAATTTTATGAGGATACAATGGTCGCTCATCTTGATCAACTAAAGATTCTTCTAATTTCAACATGTTATACAATGTATCCCCTGTTATCTGTCAGAATAATTAATAATATCTAGATGATATAAGTACAGTAAAAGCATTAAACATCAAAATGTTGTTAATGTCACAAATGAAAAAAAGGTTAATTAAAACAAATTATTTACTATTTTTCAATTATAATAACTTTTCTACAAAACTTTATAAAATGAAATGTAAAACAAGGAATTTGCATGAATTTATTATTTCCTACTAGGAGGGTGCATGTATACTTTACTCATGTGAATATCTTAATTTTTATAAATACAACTAAATTCAGTAAGTTAATAATTCAATACAAGTGATGATAATTTGAGTATTTATCAAAATATTTTAAAATCAAAATTTTAACTTCTAAGAAATATAAAAATAAAAATTAACTTTACAAAACATGATAATGAACAGAATCACTCATGACCTTTGTTTTGTACATTTTTATTGATAAAACTGACTGTAACATTACAAAAGTAATAAAACTTTTGGAACAATGAACTTATTTGAGTTTTTCATTCTGTCAAAATTCTTATATGGTGACAATTCTGACTACCAAACCCCCTCATCAAGTAGAGGTATTTATTCTAGATTACCATCCCAAGCCTCATAGTCCCTATTCTTAACATGAATATTCTACTGATATCATGAAATACATACAGAAGTTTGAGTTTGTATTATATTAAAACAATTTTGAACATGCATATAAGTAAATCGTATGACAACTATAGCCAATACAAAGTCACAAGGACTGTCACGTATCAAAATTGTATTTTGACATTGATTGGTGATTCACAAGTAGAGTGATGTCATCAAAAACTGACAATTTTTGAGAAGGATATGTAACAGCTTTTTCTAACACACAATATTCATACATTCAGATCTTAAAGATGTGTTCAGTTATTGGATTTAGAATTTTCAAGATGGGGATAACCCTTGTACTTAATGAAATTAGAAACACAGGAATGTGGTAAGCAAAGTGCAGCATCTTGTAAGAGATGAGAATTCACAAACACAAAGGTAAATGGCAAAAGCTATCCTTATGTCCCAGGAAACAGTATGCAAAATAATCAAGACCTCTGTCTGGAAAAGTGACACTAGTCATGTGTACACAAGTTACTTGGATAAGCACATCTTTTCAACCATCACATATCTAAAATAACTAGTAACTGAAATTGTTATTCATGTTATTTCATACAAAAAAAAAAAGATACTAATCAAGTCACCTATGGATGTCTGTGCTAGCAAACTGTTGAAAAGGACACTGGGAAACTGTCATCCTCTTGGTCTAGATGGATTATGGTACACATGTAGAGTGTGGCATGGTTTGAATGTGACAGCCTTAAGATGGAGCCTTTTAGATTGGAAACTACACTGCAAGGTTACTGTCAAGATAATCCATCAGATACAGCATAACTTAATAAGGCAACACGGACAGTAGTGACATGGTGAGGCTCAAAAATCATTTAAATATAATGTTCTCACCTCTGTAGGATCAAATGAAGAACATGATTCATGTATGAATCAACATAAACCGAGTCAAAAAAATATTTTCAGAATGATACTTATGTACATGTATTTTTTTTCTTCTTGATTTTCACTTATCTATCTATTTTCAAAGAAAACTTCAATTTTTATAGACAGAAGAGGAAGAACACCTCTAATTAATACCACCTTTAAATAAAAGGCAAAAAGTTAGATGATGAACAAACCTTTCCAAAAATTGTATGCTTGTTTTGTAGTTCAGGACATGCACCCAAAGTGAAGAAAAACTGACTTCCATTATCATCTTTCCCAGCATTGGCCATTGCAATAAGGCCTCGTCGAACAAAACGTAACCTAGAGTGGAACTCATCCTGACAGAAAAAGATACCATCAATAAATTCATTCAGTAAACAAAATTCCTTAAAAATGCATTACATATCATTAGAATATAATAACTATTGCATAATTAGATAAATAACAAGACATCCATTAATAACGAAAAAAACTGCTTACTTGCCTAAAATTCAAAATACAGGAACATGTAAAAAAAAAAAGGTGTGATGATGATCATGGTATTGCAGAAATATTTCCCTGCAAAAAGTACATAAACACCTCTTGCACATGTACTGAGGCATGTTCTATTTAGCCTCCTAAATAATAAAACTCTGTAGTATAGGTACAGACACACAAATTCAGTACTGTCCAGTTTTACATAAAATGCCAAAATCTAGTGAATTACGTGAATCTGACATGGGATAAAAGGTAACAGAAGAAAGGAAATAAACTGCAAAACTTGATCATTCATGTAATCTTACATGTGACTTTCCATTAATATCTAAAAAATGTTTAGGTCAGTGTGAGGGAAGCATTCAGTAACTCCCCTTTACAACCAATTCTTACTGCACCAACATAAGAACAGGAAATACCTAAGAGGTCTATGAAGCACACTTTCTATAAATGTTAGTACTTGGAAGAATTGGGACTTGAAAAGCCTGTGTCATCCACAAGCCAGCTGAGCATTGTTGTTCTTGGCATAAAGATATTATTACTTGAATTGTAATGACTGGTCACAATTTTCTGTTTTTAGTAATAATAGCTCCTTTTACCAGTTTTCAAGGAATGTCTAATTATGGATCTTGAAGTAGGCAGAGGAAAAAATTAAACATAATTGTGTTTTGTTAAAGCAGAGACTTAGAAAAAACAATGTAGAGATAAATTATACCAGATGCTACTTGACAACTTGCCAACAGCAGTTATTCAGGCAAAAGCATATGCTAAACTTTATTAGAGTTGTAACTGCTAAATTTCCCCTTTTATAATGACATATACAGAAACTTCTGGCACAGTACTGTTTTATGTACAGGCAAAAATCATTATATTAATCTTGTATTTTGTATTCTTTTAGTAAAATAATGGAATATTTACAGTACCCTATATACATACAGAAGTTAAGACTTTATATCATTTTTATTTCTAAAAAATTAAAATGAATATGTTTGAACAGAATTTGTACATCCATGAAAAAAAGTGTTCATATCAACTGTAAACTTTAAATAAAATGCAAGATATTAATGAATAAGTAATTAATATTTACATTATTAATGTTGTATACTCTTCCATATTTTCACAATAAATGCAAATCAATTATGAAACATAAAAACACTGAGAAATGATACTAAAATAGCTTATCCCTTACCTTGAATGGATGTCCATAAATAGATTCTCCACCTGTACCTGTCCCCGTGGGATCTCCACCTTGCACTATGAAGCCTTTAACAAGTCTGTGGAATATTGTTCCATCATAGTAGCCTTCCAAACACAGCTGTACAAAGTTTCGACAAGCTTTAGGGGCTTCTTTGGACCAGAGTTCAATGTCAAGTTCACCAACAGTTGTTTGGAGCAGAACCTACATATAAAGTTGAAAAACAATTATAGAATTTTTAGTATTTTTAACTACGCACCGTATAAGTTATCTTAATAATTTCCTCTTAAAACTAAAAATCACATTAATAATATTCAAGTAACTTTCATTCAATGAAAATAGCTTTTCATGAAGATTGATGGTGCCAGGATTGGGTCATGTTTGACAATTGTGGACTTGACACCAACTTTCTAAAGATTCAGAAACATACAATATACTACACTTGCAGAACTTCATGCTTGAAGATAAGTTAGATAATAGCTTTGGGGAAGATTGTGCTATCAAAGGGAGAAATAGCAGATCTGGAGCAGAAAACAAGGAAGGAAAGAGGGTAAGGGTAAAGGTTGCTTTGGGATAGGATGAGTTGGTGATAGTTGGGTTTAGAAGTAGAGCTGGGCAATTAGTGAAATTTGTATAATTATAATGAAGGTTGCGATATATATACGTTCAAAACTCGGATCTTGGAAACTATCTCACTGATCATCACCAATCATAACTGTGTAATATTTTTATAACTAGGCAGTATTTTTATAGCTGAGCAATAAATAAAACAATTAAAATTTCCACAAAAATGATATGTTTCAGATTTAACCAATAAAAATTACAAACAAAAAGGAGTAAGTTTCAAATATAAATCAAACTTAAAAAATTATTTGTTTTTCTTTAGTGAAAATCCCTTGATTGTTGCAATAGAAAAGCAAGGCACTTTCATTAATAACTGTGTCTATAAAGAAATACTTTAATAAAATCTACTCTGTGATGTAATGCTGTGATTATAACTCATTTTTAAACTAAAATTTCAATAAAATCCTTTTTCTCATGAATGGTGAACATTATTGAATGTCAAGTATGAGTACATTGTTGTAGAACTGTCAGACAATTCTAGAAAAGGCTGCAGACCCAATAACCTTCTGCGGGAACCAGAAGTTATACTTGCTCGGAGGGCGGGTATTTCTGCTAGTTCTATTAATTGCTGGACTTATTATTCAAATACATCTAATTAATTGAATATTGATAAGGTCAACACAATCTGCCAGGAGTGCTGCAGTCAGTATCATCATACTTTCTATCCACCATATTGTGATCACTCATATGAATAGTCCTTGATCTGTGTGTATTAATCACTGTTAAGCTGTTCAACTATTTCCAGAATTACGTATCAATATAAATGGGGAGAACGAGAACATAGCGGACTTAATGGAACACAAAATCTGGCAAGTCTGGTAATCTTAAGCATTTTTCACCCAAATATATTTGTTTCTTTTTAGAAAGTGGTAATATAATGTTACCTGAGTGTATGAAGTTATACTGTACAATTTTATCGAAAATATAATTGTAATTTTAGTGAATGCCAAGTATCAAATGCCTATGGGGCTGAGTAATTAACTGTGTGCAGTTATGTATCTATGACATTTGAAGATTAATATATTTAGAATTTTTCCGGATAACTTGGAATATTTCTAAAAATGAAAGAGATGTATTAATTATATATATTTTGAAAGCTAGTCCTTCACTGTACAATTTGCAGTCCATTTCAATGAAGCAATGAGAAAAACTATCTGCCCTGCTAAGTACTCTTCAAGTTTCAATGGCCATAGATAATTGCCCATACAAACATTGATGTGTGCTAAATTAGGATTCACTCAACTGCTAAAAATGCCATAATTTCTTTTTTTATTGACACAGAGCTATAATTCAAAGTCATACATAATGAACCTATTGTGATTTATCCAAATCCATTTTTCTTTGAAATTTTATAAATTTAGAATATTTAGTAAGGTACCTATACATGACTCTGGGACTAACATTCCTATTTCTAACTTATTTTTGTATTTTTCAAACTACCATTTCTTTAACGTAATAGACAACTTCATGTATAACAATTTAATATTAAGTTACTTGTTTAATCATAAACTGTTGTACATGAAAATATGTCATTAATATAATGTAGTACAAATATATTACAGGCTGAAAATACAATTACCATTCTGAGGGTTTCTCCCAACGTATTTTAATGATACTACTAAAACGTGAATCTTTGAAGCTGAAAATACACAGTTCATAACACTGAGTATTAAAGAAAAGTGTATAGCATTGCTACAGAGAAATGGGAGATAGTAATAAATAAGCTTATTTGTTAAAAATAATTGTCATCAAAGTAAAGAGTATAGCACTGTAACAGAATACTGGGATATCTATTATTAAATATGCTTCTTTATTAAAAATAACAACTGTTGTTAAGGTAAAGAGTAAAACAATGTTACAGAGAACTGGAAGATGTTTGATACCAAATAAACTTCTTTTTTAAAAATAATTGTCAAGGTAAACAGTATAGCATTGTTACAGAGAATTGGAAGATGCTTAATATTTAAGCTTCTTAGTTAAAAATAATTATTGTTATAGTAAAGAGTATAACATTGTTACAGAGAACTGGATGATGTTTACTACTAAATAAGCTTCTTTGTTAAATATAATTTTAATTAAAGTACAGAGTATACCATTGTTTCAGAGAACTGGGAATATCTACTACTAATTATGTTTCTTTGTTAAAAATAATTGTTGTTAAAGTAAAGAGTATAGCATTGTTATAGAGAATTGGGAGTTAACATTTTCTTAAATCGAAAATGTATTTCCAATAATACTTACCCAGTCTCACACTTATAGCTATTATTCAACTGCCAGGGATTCTTCCTTTGCCCATCTAAGCATTGGTCTGATTTTTTCTCACTTGCTCCAGACTTTTATACCCCACTCAACTGCTCTTGACAATATCATCTCATGACACTCTCCACCTATGTCAATGCACCCTCTATCCTGGTACTGTATATAAGCACCTTATTCAATGTTATCACTTTTTCAAGACTGACTCCATCCCAGTCTATCCAACCGGATAGCTGAACATCAAATCTGAACCAGTAGTACAAGTAGACTCCCTTGTAGACTGGTGCCACTGTGAAAAAACATCTAGGGATCCAGGTAGAAAGCCTCCAACTTTGCCCTCTTATCCAAGAGTGGAGGAATTCACTCTGTTCACTATCCCAGTGACTGAAAACTGGATGTGGTAAGGACTCCCTAACTCCTCTAGTAGAATCTGGGGGGGGGGGTAACGTGCACTGGGGAGTCCTGATGTACACTGCTCTGGAAACAGCGCAAAAGGTGAACCCAATTCCCTAAATTTTTAAAAACAAATAAGCCCCAATTTATTCAATCCAATGATTGGCAGGATCCCCTTATGCTTTACTCATGATAGTCAATGAGTGGCAGTCCAGCATAGTACAGTAATACCACCCAGTCAGCTTCTAGGTGGTCTTATTGAACACCTCATTTCTACAGAGCCTATTGCAACCTGTATAATGTATATTGAATTAGTGGTTACTAGTGCAGAATTGGTTTGATAACAGCACACATGTCTGGGCAACACTTGCCACAGAGTGAGATCCTGTAAAAATGAGGTAAGGGAGGGACCCTGAAGGATAGCAATGAAAATAATCTAGCAGAAATGTTTAAGATAGCTACAGGGGGTAGGTGAAAACCCTCAGATGAAGATACTGCAAGATCATGCAAATAATGTGTTACAAGTATTGGGGAAGGTCCACATACCAGATTGCACAATGTCCTCCAGCAGGCAATTCAACTGGGCTGCTAAGAACATAGAAATGTGACAAATCTGATTAGAAATTCCTTGCCTTCAAGAGAGCACAGGATAAAAAGTAATTGCCTAGCATCTCTAAAGGCATTCGTGCAGACAACAAAACCTTCAAAACTGTCACTGAACACAACCATGATTGAAATATGATCGAATATAGAAGTGAGAAATGAATCAGTGAAAAGGATTTATCCCCTTCCCTGTCTGACAGTGTCTTGGATAAGAAGAACTGATCTGAGAACGTACAGGGAATGAGAAAGTGGTCTGTGGACAAACAGCCCAACTCACTCCGATCAGCGATGTTTATAGTTCAGCAGCCACAAAAAATAAATCTTCAGGTAAAGGGGATATGTGGCATATAAGAATCAGGTCAAAAACAGGTGTTTAGAATGAGCATGCAATGTAACTTTCAAAGACCTGCAGCCCATGGAAACAAGGGAAGCAGTGCTTCCCCAATATATGTTAAAAAAAAATTTAGCTTTTAAGCATCAGCTAAATATGACATTATGAACTTGCAATTGATTCATACGGAAGCAGTCTACTACATCGTACATAATCAGTAATCACCTTGTATGGGCAAAAGCACTGTTGGGAAGAATCTGGACTACAACTCGTAAAATGCTTCATTTTTTTGAGTTGATTTTAGCTTTATACCTACTAGAAAAGGCTTTATTTCCAACTAAAAACATTTTTGTTACATAATATATTCTTTAAACTATAAAATGCTTCTTACATGAATAATTTTCTGAATAAAAAAATTAAAATTCATACTTGTATTTCAAAAAACATCTTGAATGTTATATTGGCCTCTTCTATGGCATAAAGGAAGCAATTACCAGTTCATCTTACTTCACAAAATTGGAACTTATTGACTGTATACTAAATTATTATATAAATAATTTATAAATAAGCTAGCATTTCGTAATTACTATTTTATAAATTAAAATGTACAATAAACAAATAAAATATAATAAGAAAATAAATATTAACTTATAGTTAATTTTCTTGCAATATTTGGAAACATTTGTTTTTCATGTGGCTATTTGTTGCCTCTCTGATGTCACGTGATGTGCAGATGCTTCGAGCATTGTATTAAATGATACTGTTATTTTTCAGAAGTGTGTCACCCTTCAGATTTGAATATGGATTCAAAGGATAATAGGAAAAATTGCAACTGTAGTATTGAAAGCTTATTAGTGAACAAGTTCAGTAAAAAAGAATTTTAGTGATAAAAAAGCATCATCAGAAATGGTAGACCTATGCCAGCTGTAAGCCTGAGTGGAAAAACAAAGCAGTGCATTCGAAAATTCAATTTAAATCAATATGACAGGACATCTTG